GTCTTTCCAGCAAATGCTGGAGCAGAGCACTTCACTGTGCACACTAAGATCAGTGAGTTAAAAGAAATGAGGGAAATGTCCGAGACGCACAGCGCCATATTGCACTGCAGCTTTTGCCATGGGGTGAAGTCCCTCCAAAAGCTCATACTAGACGATAATTACTGGCATCACTTGGGGCTACACAAGTTTAGCACAACACCACTATTTCTGTGGTATTAACCATGGGGCAATGAAAATAGTAAGAAGATGCCTCATGTCTTCCTGGTCTGTTAGACCAGAGCCCTAGACGGTTCAGGCCTACCCTAGGACTATAGTCCATTTGTCTCTGTGTATTTACGAAGTTTTCAACATGCCTCTATTGAAATTAATGGAGTAAAAGGCACAAGAAAGCATCATAATAAGCCTAAATGCCTTTTGGGTTTTAGTATTTTCACAACACCTGCCATAATAGAGTCCTGGAGAACCTAGATTAGTAGTAAAATTAACAATACAGTACTATTAAAATATTAAAAACAACTCATGCTGCAGCTCAAAATCACTGCCAAAATAGGCAAGTGAGCATTCAGCTGAGGCCATGCCAGGGAATGCTGAGTGCAAGAGGAAATTGCAGCAAGCCTTTTAGTAAGTGGAACTCTGAATTTATATTGGAGCAAGGCAGGACAACCTCAGTATGGACATATTCCACTGTAGGCTACATCAACTTTCCTATGAAAATTTAAAACAATATTCTGAACTTTAATAGTCAAACACTTCATAGTGCATTCTGGAAAAACTAACAGACAGCTGGCTAAACACAAACAGGCTTTGTGTTCACTTGCTAGAATCACTCACATGTGAGTTCAGCAAACTGTTGCCCTGGCAAACTGGAAGGCTAGGCAGCATGATGCCTCAAAAACAACTCCGAGTCCACTACAAAGACATTTAAAACATCTGTCTAATGGGCTAGATACAGTATAAAAGTTCCAACTTTTCTGAAAGCTTTGGTATCTGAGTTTTATTAAGTACAGGTTCAACCACATCCTGACCAGACAAGTGTGGTCTGTACAGGTGCACTAGTTTTAGAGCTTTTCTGGTCCTCCAAGACAGTTGGCATAAGCTTTAGAATTAATGAAGTATTGATTTACTGTTCACTCTGCATTTTTTTCCAGTTTGTGAAAACCTGTAATTCTGAAAAAGGTAACCAAAACATTGCTTATATTACTCAGTTGTTTACTGCAGGCTCAGTCCTGAAAGCTAGTAGTTGACAGGGCAGATGATCTGCTGATGTAAGCCAGCATGCTGCCAGTAATATGCCAGTGGAATAGTGCCAATTTACATCAGCTAATAATCTGGTCATAGTGTCACAAAAGAAGCTGGGGGTGTTTAGTTCTCCACATCAGGCTCTGTTATATATCGATTTGCACGGCACAATAAGAATGTATGCATTTTTTTTTTACTTTGATTTGTTCTGCATCAAGAGATTATTTCATAGCTGTGAGCTGAGCATCCCCAATGCTGTAAATCACTATCGTACAATTTAATTAATTTTGTCTTCCCTGGTTCTTAAAGTGTGCTGAGACACCATGTACAAAGACAGCAAAATGAGTTGGGTGACCACTAGACTGATCAGGAAAGAAACTGTTCTGTGTTCCTCATCACATTCTGTAATTATCCACCTACATAAATGTTTTTGGTTTTTTTTATTGCTAGTAACTGAAATAAGACCAAAGTACTGCTTGTCCACAGACCATAAACAAACAGAGTACAATACTGTACGAAAAGCACATAGCAGACAGATGTAGGACATATAAACTAGCTGTTTCATTTGGATAAATAGTGATCTGATTTCACCCTTTTCCTGCCTAGCCAGCAATCAAGTACACAGATATATTTCCTAATTGAGAAATTAATCATATTTTATATGTCCTGAAAAGCAAGATATATTTGAGTATTTGTGAATACTAATATTTGCCTATTAGACTGTTCCCGTGCCATGTCTATCCTCCTTTCTATTTATACTGGCATTGATCAGCTTGTTCACTTCCAGTTTAAATGATTCAGTTCTGATTTGATTGCCATGTAATTTAAATGCAAATAATTACTGTAAGGATGACATTTAGAAAAACAGCTCTGCTAAGCAGGAAGGTCTTTTTTAGGCACAGGAGTTTGCCAGTAACAGCAGAAGCATGCCTTTTGACTATGAGATATGGGAACCTATCACTTCAGTTCTTCTAAAAGACATTCTGATTTCCCTCTGACTCCCCTTAATTAAAACTCTTCTATAGCATCATCAAATATCAGGGTAGAGCATAGGCCACTGAATGAAAAGAAGAGGGGAGAGGAATATTTTTAATCTGTTTTTAGTTCGTAAGGCTGCACTCTAGAAAATGGCAGTAAAATTACTCTCTTGTGAAACCATGTTTGTATTTCATGCTGCACCTCAGTTCCAAGACAGGGTCTGATTGAAAAAACACTGAAGTGTTTCATGCAAGGAAAAAGTGGTAGCTAGAGGAAAAAATCTCTCTTACTTTGAGAGTACTTTATTTTCAGAACCATCTCGTTTCTCCCTTCTTCCTCCTATTTTAAGGTTAGACTATTGCTTTATCATCTCTGCCATGTATGAGAAGTCTGGAGATACTAGATTGCCCAAGTACAGAGTTGTGACTGAATTACAGTCCCACCTTCTTTCCTAACTGTCTCTGTAACAAGGTATTTTTTATATGCTAGCTGTGCTAGCAGGTCCAAAGAGATGCTGAGGAAGGCACCAACAAGGACAAATCCTGACTCTGCCCATTTCCTGGCATAGCAGCATCTTCAATTTGGGCTCATAATTTCACATTTACCTCCTCATCCATCACAGTCACCAGACCTTAATGGCACAATTTGAAATTCAGTCCTCAATAGTGAGAACTGCATAAACACCAGGGCAGCACATGAAAGAAATGTGATTCTATGCCATTTCTTTTCTCACAGTACAGAAATCTCATCCTTTCACCTCAACACACACCAGTGACCCAGTGTTTGGTAGAGTGCCTCCATTAAAACTTCACTGCTCCTGTTAAACATAACAAAATCCCAGATATCTTGATTTTAGCATGGAGTCTCATAAGATGCATTCACTGCATTTCAGTTTTGTCCAAAGGCTAGTCATGGCAGAGGTCACATGCTTAGCAAGTATCAAGAGACCACAGCCTTCCTGAAGTCACTATTTTTTTGTTAGCGTGCAGAGTGAACAGGTGATGGATCCAGAAGTTTCATACATATGTAGATCCAGTAAAGACAGCATATACAAATACAGTTATTACCATTACTCTGAGAAAATAAAGGTTAGAATTCAGCCTGATAAAAATCAAAGCACATCTGAATAGACCATTCTATTTGCCCTTCTGCTTTCTCTCAGGATCCTGAACTTTGCCACCTCATTCATAGTCATTGCACTAAAGGCTGCCCCCAGACTTCACACTCCCAACCAGTTTTTCCTTGTTTCTAAGTATCAGATCCAACAGTGTCTTCTCTCACTGGCTTCATAGCTCCAGTGCCTTCCCCCTGTTGGGCTCATGTTCACAGGACAGGAAGGCAGTAGAGTAAAAGATTTATTTGCAATATGGAGATCCTAAGCATTTAGGATCACTTAACACAACTGTTCTGCTGCGTTTACTTTTTTTTTTTGCCTCCTGGCAATCACTGAGACAGCAGAATTGCCAGGGGAAGCTGTCACAGTCTTGTAGTCCCCCACTATGGCTCCAAGTGAATGCAGGAATTCAGCCCATGAAGTTCCTCTAGGTTCAGAGCCTACAAGTAAAAATTATAAATATACTTGCTGATGTTTTAGACTAATGGCAAGTTGATCTTGCTTTGAAAACTTCAGCGATACTAATATGAGCATTCAATACAGTTGTAACACCTGGCTTTCATATTGTTTTAACATCTCTAAGAATCAGGAAAAAACCTTATTTGCTTTATTAAAAAAATCATTCACTATGAATGTTATTTTATATCACTGAATGACTTTCCGCACTCAAAATTTAGACACTGTGCTAAAGGTACAAGAGAGTTAAATTGCTCTATATAGAGAACAGAGGCAGGTTGGATAGTTCAGCAAGGATTCCCTCAAGGCCCTCAGACATGAAAGATTTTCCCTAGAACAAGATACTTCCCATTTTTTGCTGACTCATATATATTTAACCATTATAGTTTGAACAGTATAGTTCATTCAAAAACATATATAACCAGAACTCCTCCCTGACCATGGTGTAAACGGATATAACTTAAATTTAGCTGAACACCAACTTTTACCACACAGGGATGTAGAAGATAGGGAGGCCAGGTGTAGGGGGACACAACAACAGCAAATCCAGCCCCTACAACTTTTCACCAAAATCTGGGCAGATTCTTCTGGTATTTTCTTCCATGCTTTCTTGCATCTTTGTTTTACTTATATTAGCAATTATAATCCTTCACTGACTGCAGGGACACCTCGTGGTGAGGACAGGTGAAAACAGCACACTGCCATTCAATTAATTAAACTAAGCAGGAAAAGACTGACAGATGTTTCTGCTCCTTGGGAAAATCAGAATTTCACAGGCACAGGCTTCGACTCCTGCTCTGCTTCTGGGGCATACATTAAAACATCCAGAACAGAAAGCACTGACACAGCAACTTCAAGAACAAAGGACTGAGTTGTCCAACAGACCTGAACTGTCTAACAGTCCACTTTAATTATAACTTTTGTCTTCCAGGGGCTACACGAGTGGTTGCTTCAACTCAACACTCAGTTGAAGCAGCAGTCCCCAGAATTGCTGTTATTGGCTTCCCACCTCCTCCTTTGTTTAATGTGACAGCAAAACGCATTTCAGTGACTCACTGCAAAATCTCTTGCTGGGATTTTCATTTTTTAAAAGACATACATGTGTGTATAATTTTTAACAGGGATTTCCTTTCTCCCCACTGCAACTACACTGTGGCATTGTCACCACAGCACTTGATCCATTACATAATAAGAATTGCATCAGCTTCCTTACCCAATGCAGAGAACCAATGCAGACCTTGGCAGCCAGAAGAGGAACGGTGGGATCTGTAGGTCGCAGTTTAGCACACTCTTTGAGCACCGACACAGCATATGCTGACTGGAGGAGGGGGAGAGAGGAGGAGGAAATAAAAAAAGGCTGATAAGACAATGCTGTTCCAGAGTCCAAACAACATATTTCAGTAAAATGTACAAAGAAGCGCTGTGAAGAATCACGTCAGCAACAAGTTAGCAACTTTATTCCCACCTCCACACACACAGACACATGTGTGCGTGCATGCAGACTCACACTCTTCCCACACTCAGAGGAAAAATGCCAAGGCACCAGCCCTGGCCGGGCACCTTACAAGAAACAGTTTTCCTCAGCCATTAACACACTGGTTATTCTAACTCTGCTCTCCCAATTCACAGGAATTCTGCTACAGTTTTCCTTGCACACAACCATCATCCAGTAAGCCAGAAAAGATCATAAAGAGCTTATCCTCCAGTATATTAACATTTTAGGCCAACTCTACTCAGACAGAGCTTTGTGCGGCTAAAGTAATCTTCCTGCAGATTGTTTTGTGCCTTCTCCAGTACTAGAACATACAAGAATACAAGTGGGATCCCCCCATGCAAAGGGTGGAGCAGGCAACTGCAGTCTGAGTAGTGTGTGTTACAAAGAAGGCCCATAAAACTCTTGCTGTTTTTCTGGTGTTTGGTTACCATTAATGAATGATGTCTATTAAGATCAGCCGTTACACAGCCCTTTTGATTCAATGTGCTCCACAAACATTGCTTTTTACAGCACATATTCATGGCTGCCACACTTCAGAAGGTCTAAAGGGGAATGAGGAAAGCTCTGGTCTGAGATGCTGGTGAGAAGGCCTGGTCAGCCGATGAGGAGGTGACCCAGGCTGCACTGCCAGTCTCCTAGCCCAGTCTACCTAGACCGCAGTTTCTTTCACATTTCCAACCCTCCTCACTACTGACCGCTGATCCTCCCAAATTCTCTCATCCTTGAGCTCAAGGGGAAGTTTACTTCTCTCAGAATTTCTCCTGACATGCCTCATTCCTCCCGAACTCTTCCACACAGTCCCAAGACACACCCAGGCCTCTCTCACTCAGTGTCCCCTCTCAGAAGCACATGGAATAGTTGTGGCAAAAAAAACAGGAGAGCAGCAGCAGCACCTTGCCAAGTCAAACTAGCCACTATCTATCAGATCCTGGACACCTTCTCCTGACCCCCAGGGGCTTTGCCTACCAGAGCTGTGACCAGCACAGGCAGATGGATCTGGCATCTGCTCCAGTCCCCTGCAGCCCCACACAGCAGCTGCATGCTCCCACCAGCGGCCATCAGCACTTTCCCCTCCTCACACCACAACAAAGCAGGCTGAGCCTGCCGCCTCCTTTCTCCAGAGGACTCAATGTCCACTTCTTGCTATGGGATTCAAAAGCCTGGATAGGAATTTGATTGGAAGGGTGCCCGGGAAAAGGGAAAACCAGATGTACAGCAGCCCTGCCCATGCTAAGGCAAAGATGGGTTTTGTAGCCTAAGACACAAGCTCTGCAGCAGTGGAGACAAACCCTCCTGCTTGAAAAGCTTGGGTATCTGCTGCGCGGTCTGAAGAGGAGCAACAGCATTGCCCTACGTTCTCCAGGCAGCTCCCACCTACACAGAGCATCAGGTATCATCAATAAAAGTAAGGAAACATTTGCTATTTTACAATTCCAAATTCACAGTTTAGCTAAAGCCAGAAGGAAGCTTGTCTTTGAGCAAAAATGGGAATCAATAAACTTGGTCCTAGAGCTTAAACCATTACCTCACCCCTCTCAGAAACAAAGACTCGGGTAATTCAACCCTGAGGTATGGGAAGAAACACATTGCTGCACCCTGCTGTCATGAAGTAACTAGCATCCCACAGAATTAACATCCCTGACACCTATTTGTTCAGAATAACTAGTGTCTCAGGTTTTAATGGCATCTTATTCCTCCCTCTCACAGAATGCTACTTGTACCACAGGCAACTGGTATTCCCAGTACCACTGCGGTTCATATTGGAAATGCAAGCACAACCCCATGAGCATCCTAGCCTAGCACATCATCCTCCTGCCTGTATTCCAGCCCCACAGGTTCTTCCAGACAAGAGAAACCCAAAGAGTAGAGCAGGACAGTGTGCACCTTGACAGTCAGTGTATACGCAGCTCAACCCAACCCTTCTCATCTCACCATGCAAAACAAAATGAAGAGGCCAGATATGTAAAAGACAATACACTGTCCAGTCCTAACTTTCAGAAAGATACAAAGCTTGTGTTGGTTTCTCAGCTCCCCATCAGCAGTGTGACTGCAGGGAAAGCAGGAGGCACCTAGGAAGAGCTGACAGCCACCCTGTGGGCCAGCACAAAACAGTGCTTATACCTGAATGCCTCACACGTGGAGTGACCTTATCACATGCACTCTGAAGATCGATTTACAGAGCAAGAGCCACAGCTTCCGCACTGCTTTCAAAACATTTACAAAGCTAAGTCACTTTAAAGTAGTTTATAAAATTTGTAATTAAACATATGGAACAGAAATGGTTTTAGAAACAGGGTGGCATGAAGCCTTTCTCCCCAGCTGTATTTTAAAAATTCAAGAGATCTATATAATTTCACATTGAAAACCTTACTCAGCAGAAATTATACATAGATGAGGAAAATACTAGCTAAGGAATGACAGTAGAAAGAACAAGCCCCTCCCACAGTGACCTTACTTAGGGGAGACTGGCATGACATATAATATCAAGGTGTTTTAAAGATACTACAGACATTAATGGGCAGGGAACAAATATAATCCACTCAGTATTGAATACAGATGTCATTGGTTTGTAACAATATTTAATATGAAACAGCATTTGTGTAACATTGAAATAATCTGATAATTAAAATGTACATATTCTGTCACTTAGCGTGGGTGGACCAGGAAGTCAAGCACATTGTTTGTGAGATTCACTGCAATGCAATAATAATTAGAGTTATTTGTGAGGCATGTTTTGAGAAGAGCAGAGCTTGAACTCCAAGTGAGTGCACGCTTCCTACTCATAATTCTGAGCTTCAGAGGAGTTCACATCAAAACTCAAGCCAGGGTTTAAGTTTTTGCTGTTTAGCTTGCTAATTGCTGGATTATAACGACTGCACTGATCCCAAGGATTTCAGAAAACTGGGGATTTGCCTCTGGTTCTCATTCGGCATCTCTCTGAGAAAAAGGCTTTTAAGTCACCCTAAACACACACAAACCTGTTAAACAGACATGGTTTAAAGAAAGGGCAAGCTTGCCAACAGCTGCCTCATAGGGGTTTCAACTGTGTTTATGGGAGGTCTAATGTATGAGTTCTCAGCCTTAGGTTCCGCATTGGGTTTAAGGAGACCCATGACCATCCTCCCTTGTTATGACCAACAAAGCACAGAGCTCAAATCAGAATATGGAGTGAAAATACTGCCTTAATGGGAATGTTCAGCCAGTAGGGTTAAAAAAAAAGAAAAATAAAAAGATGAACTGTGTAGGGGACTTAAGAACTTCAATTACCTGAGTTAGGCATCTCTGTCCTTCATATACCAACAACTTTGTGTTTTTTGCAATGGAGACAGGGAAGGACACGGCACTACTGTTCCATATTTAAGCCCAGTAGCTACTGGAAGCTGATCTTCTCTGTCAATATTTTCCTCTCCTTATCTACTTGCACACAATACTTTTCTTCTGCAGAGATCACAAACATGCTACACAATAATTTATGAAAAGAAAATTAGGAAACGCAATTTCTAGGAAGGAGCAGGCAATACTGAAAAATGGCTGCTTTTGATACAGACTTCTGAGAAAGCTCTATGTATCACATCTGGGGTGGGGGAATAACACTTCTTGATCTGCAGCAAGAAATCACAAGGAAGCTATGATGAAGGAGATGGACGGAGAGGACACATCCCCCTAAGCAATTACAGCAACCATGGCTTTGAATCCTATAAGGTAGTAAAATGTAAAATATAAACCCCAACTCTCATTCCCCATTTACTAATTATATAACAAAGCATGCAAGCATAGTCCTCAAAGATGCTTGCACATGAGCAGTAATGAAGAATAGTCTCGTTCTTACTTTTCCAAAAGGCTCAAGAGATCTCACCATCAACTATGGTAGATGCTGCCAAAATGCTGGTTTTCCCAGCTCACTTCAAGAAATTTTCATTCCTTCCTCTCCTCTTCTCCCCCACCACACCAAACAAACAAAAGAAGGATGTCAGAGATTCACTCCATGTTTAGAAGATAAAGAAACCTTAAATCTAAGTAAAAGGAAGAAGAATTTCCAGACAGTAAATCATGCCAGGCAGACTTGACACACAATAAACAGTTGCTCTTCTCTTGCAAAGGTTCCAAAAACCTTTCTACTTTCTTGCTTCTTTGGTAATACTTTTCAGCCAAAGGGAAAAATGTTCCTCGAGGTGGTGGTTTTGGTAGACAGTCTCATTCCCAATTCACCTGGAAGTTTAGTACACAGATGAATCTCTACAACTAGTACTGCTTTACTTCTAGCATCATCCTGTCCAATTTAAAAAGTTACGCTCTCTCAAAGGGATTGTGGGGAAGTGAGGGGAAAAAAATCTCATTATGCAAGAATTAGTATTCCCTGTACCCTGGGATTCACAGCCATCTAGCTAAAAATGACCTTGAACCAACACAGGAAGATAACAGTGAGACAGCAATTGAGAACTCTGGAGCTAGTTGGTTTGGTGTTAGCTTTCCACTGAATTTCTAGATTTCTGCTAATCCCACAGCATAAACATTATTCCTGTAAGACATTTACTTCTCTCAATACAGGGACCAATTCTCCCCCTTTTCTTTTCCCCTGTGTGTAGCAAATTAGAGCATTGGAGTTAAGCAGCTTCAAATATTCACTTTGAAGAGTACCTGTTAAAATTTAAGATCTGTAAGCATAAATTTGTCCTTGCTAATGTGACAAACACCCAATTTCACACTTTCTGTCAGGCAAAGAGTGTTAAGTCTGAAGGCAATTATATAGCCCACCTAGGTATTCTGCTCAAAAGTCAGGCATCCTTGGAAATTTCCATTTTTTGTACTATCTACAGCACACA